TTGTCAGTGGTAATTTCTAGCTGGTAAACTTCTATCAAGAAAAAACTTGATTTTGAAAAACTGTTCTACTTCTGTTCCGGATTTGCGGAACCTTTCTTTTCACCCTACTAAAAATCGTCAAAATTGTATTTCTGCTCTCACATATATGCCTATAGTTTGTAAAAAAAAATTGACAGTGTAGAATATACCTTTCTCAGGTTATTTCTTTTCAACTATCAATATATTGCGTACTACCCTAACTGGGCGCAAAATCAGAAATCACTGCATTCTCTTTCGGGCAGAAGGCTTTCACTGTTATGGACGCCGGACATAACTGGAAATTGCCATTGAAAGCTTGATGAATAAGTTTCATCTCACATTTGGAAGGTTTGCAGCATTCAGATCAACATTCTTGACCAAAGCCAAAAAAACAATGAAACAGTTTATTAAAACGAAGCCTCCAATTTTTGAGTCGCGAAATGTTTTTTGTCCATGTCGAAAAATTCGATAATGGGTTTTCAAGTGTTTTCCCGAAATTTGGTGAACCAAAATTAATCCTGAGCAGATCTGCAGATGCTCAAACATTTGCTTCGCAAAGACCCTGAAGTGCGTACAGGAAGTGGAATACCTTTTTGCAATTGTCCCAACGGGAAGTTTCTCATTACAGAAACTGCCTTTCAAGTTTTACAACATTTCGATATTCCGGAAAATCGATGCGTTTACTTGAAACTGGCCATCTGGCATTCTCTCTTGATTCAAATTCAAATATTCAAATCTAAGGCCAATTATCTCCAGGTACACCCGCACCTACCCCTTCCCTCACAATTACATAAGCTTACCGGATTATCCGGTCATGCCCTCCCCCTTTTATAAACCGCTCATTGTGAACAGTAGCTCTTTCCAAACACTAGGAAATTCAAATTTCCATACCATCTGTCGTATAAAGACTCCACCTCTTTTTCTGGGGTCTCCTCTTGTCTTATGCTATCTCATATGGGAGCTCAGGCTCCGCCCCCTTTTTGGGTCAGAGAAAAAGGTATAAAAGGCCTAGGGTGCTACATAAATATCATTGGTCTTCTTGGTGTTTATTGTGAATGTTGGGGTTTTTTGGGAGGAGAACTATTGTATTTAGGACATTTTTGAATATTTTTTTTTGGAAGAAACAGGTTGGCTAGTTATTTTGAGCCAGTGGAGCCTGTGAAATTTTTGTAAATTTTTAGAATCCTCTGTTTGTTCATAAAAATATTTTGAGAAAACGTTTTGAGTTAGACCAAAAATTCAGGATCAGACCAAAAATAATCTGATAGCAACTTTTGAATTTTTTGTGAAATTCTTCCTTCCAAAAACCTCACAATAAACAATAAGTACTTAGAAGACTTGTGTCTATTTGTCTCTCTGAAGTTGGGACTAAACCAACCTTGATTATCTTGAATTTATTATTACTTTCTATTTATTCAACAGAAAAGCTGAACTCAATTGGATGAAGATTTTGGTGAGTCAATTTTGGTATTTTTTCATTTATGGAACAAATTTTTTCATTTCTTGTTCCCAGACAAATCTCGATGTTTCTCAATACCTTCCTAGACTGAAATTTTGCTCCCATAAGTTTGATTTTGAAAAGTTTTTGGAACTTTCCTTACTGCAGTCTAATTTCAAACCAGCCGAATCTATTTTTCATGTTTTGGAGTCTTGTAAAACCTCGGTTCTCGTCTTGTTCTCAATTTCGAACTTAAAAACAGCTTTCTAAATCCACATGGGTCGCATACTTGTGACGGGCCTTCTCACAAATTTTCAAGGCCCGGAAGATTACCGCGCGTTTTGAAAAATCGAAAAAATATTTCCAAATTTGTGCTCCAGCGTTATATTGAGCATAATAACAGTACATAAGCATCAGTAGTTCTAACAGTGGGTTTTTGAAGCATTTCACACCATTTTGATGAATTTTGCAGTTAAAAGTGTAACATTTTCTGAAAAAGTGCAAGTTTAACGTTTTAGAATCCGGGCCTTGCCAAAATTTCACAAGTATGATGGATAGAACTGTAGGGGAACAGTATTTGTGAGAGAAAAGGCAGTAACAGACACGGTAAATGTGAAAAAAAATTAGGTTTGCGCGATGTTTTTTGATCTACCTCATGCATCTTTAATTTTCTAGAACAAAACTAAAATATCGGTTTTCTCTTTCTGTCAAGGACAGATGAAATTAGTATAGCTACTCATTTCTTTATAGCGTTTTTCGTATCTGCAAAATATCAGCATCTTTAATTCAGTTTTGAATGTCTCCGTTGGAGTTCATCCTAGTACTTTTTTTGGCACCGGGACGTTTCGCAGCCTGACTTTTTGCAGCCTGACTTTTTGCAGCCGTTCTTACGCGTTTCTCAGATTCCATCAAATTTTTTTCGATTAGTTTTTGTTTTTTTCGATGAAAAATGGGCAATATTATGTAATTTCGATACCAAAGTGCCCAAAAAACACGAGAAATTGCCAAAATAAGTGTTCGTAATGCAAAATTGTAATGCAAAATTTCAGTTTTCGCTTAGCTTGACTTTTCAGCTATTATTTATCGAAGAATACTTCGAATAAATTTTTCAGTACAATAAAAAAAAACATTACAATCATTTTACTTATAAAAAATTTTGCATTTCTTTAAACACTTATTTTGGCAATTTCCCGTTTTTTTTTGTGCACTCTGGTAACGGATATACATAATACTGCACTGTTTTTACCGAAAAATAAAAACTAATTTAGAAAAATTTGATTGAGATCCGAAAAACGCGGAAAAACGGCTGCGAAACGTCCTGCTGCGAAATGTCTTGCTGCGGAATGTTTCGGCTGCAAAGGTGGTGTAAGAATTCAAATTTTCTTGTATAAGGAAGAAGGAAATGCCCACAATAAGCCGCTAATTGAAGGGGAAAGGTTATGGCCGGTTAATCCGGTACGGTTATGTAATAGTGAAGGGAAGCGCAGAGAATAGTGAACCTGAAGATAATTGGCCTAAGATTTGAATGAAAAAATAAAATGTATATCTATATATATATATATATATATATATATATATATATATATATATATATATATATATATATATATATATATATATATTTGTTAAAAAATCTTTTTTGTGAGTTTCCAGATCCTCCAAAAAGACGTCCGAGCTGGTTCCCATAGCAACCGTAAATCGAGCGAACTCTAAACCTCAGTCATCGCTTCGAAGAAATCGCTCTGAATACGCACTTTCGAATTGAAGTGCTTAATGAAGAAGCACAAGAAGAGTGTCCATTTGTCCGGATGTTCACACTAGATGACATCTATGGATTCTACTCCCCAGGAAATAGAAGCAAGCTCAGATGAAGGAGAGGTGCCATTAAAAAAGTTTGAGATGACCATCGAGAAGGAACACCGGATCTTCTCATACTCTGTCAGTGTAGATGGAACTGCACTGGCTGAATATTTGAAGAAAGCACATTGGAGATTTCGTGCCTGGGAGTTGGAGATCAATGGCTCCAAGACAACCATTTTCCTCCGTAAGTTTCGATTGGAAACTATATTGTTTGAAACAATTCTGTTTCAGACCTTCACACATGTTTCTTATGGTACAAAGGAGAAAAGATAGGACAACCGGTAAAGACTTCTTTGTTGTCTTACACTTAATCCACAAAATTTTTAGGGAACAGCCAACGGAGAGGAGAAAATAGTTCAATTTTCGATTGGAGAAAGCACGGGAAGTGTGAAGATCCAAGTAGTAAAGTAAGCTAAATACAAGACATTTTCCTTTGTATTGTGTTTTTTTCAGCGGGTACCAGACTAAGTATTTGCAATTTAAAGGGAACCAACTCACAGAGCTGAGCAAATGGGATAAAATTTATGAAGAATAGATGATACCGGGAAGTTGTGTTAGCTGGCAGTTTGATTTTTAATTTTTATTACCTAATTTTTTTTCTAAACGCGATTAATTCAGTTATCTACCGTAAATCCTGTAATAGAGGCCCACCCAGTACTGTATGATCAGAGTGGCATAACTCGGTTGCCTTCAAAGATATCAAAATGAGGCCAACTGAAGAAATGATTATCAAAGCATTCTGAACATTTTATTAGTTGAAAACTTTTTGATAACTCTGAAGACAATCAAGATATGCGATTCCTAACATACACTACTGGGTGGGCTTCTATTACAGGATTTACGGTATATCGATCAACAGAATCTGTATTTTACTTTGTGCTTTTGAAAAGTTATACCGAAAATATCTCTATTCCAACATCGTTCTTTCGGGGGGATCGACCTTGTTCCCTGGATTACGTGAACGTTTGGAACAGGAGATGAGACAACTGGCTCCAAGGTTCGTTTTCAAGTTTTTTCTAATCTAAACTGTATTTTCTGACTTTCAGCTCAATGACGGTCAGAGTGGCGGCTGCTAAAGATCATAAACATTCAGTTTGGAGTGGTGGATCCTTCATTGCTTCTCTCCCTAAATTCCAAGAAATATGCATTTCGAAGGAAGAGTATGAAGAGAGTGGATCTTCAATTATCCATCGCAAGTGCTTCTAATTCTTTGTGTCTGTGTCCAGTTTGCATGCGCTACGTGCGCCTTCTTAATTTTGAGCGCACCTTTTTTTATTAAATGTAACCTTTTTTGTTTAAATTTGAGAATTTTTGAGCGCGTATTGCGAATGTTTAGTGAATTTCACAAGTGATTGTTTTTTTCTAGAAAAAATCTCTGGAAAAATACAATAAATGATTTGGGAAGAAAAAAAAAACAAAATTTGCCTCAAGTAGGGATCAAACCTAAAAACTTTTGGGTTCGTACAATCGCCAATGCTGTGACCCACTGAGCCATTAAAAATCACAAAAGAAAATTTTTCGAATTGTGTTCTTCCAGATGAAAAAAGCAAAAAAGATTGGCCACCAGTTGGGTTTGAACCTGCGGCTTGTAAGCTTGACAACGCTGAAAGATTCACTAAACTATATAAATACATGGAAACACTTTTTGAATCATCTACTGCCGAAAGAAAAAAACTAGAAGGCTTGCTGCTAGTGGGGTTTGAACCCACGCCCTTCGTTTTTCCGAATTTGAGCATGCCCCGACCCACTGAGCTATAGAAACACATAAGAACACGTTTCGAACCATCTACTGCCAGAAAGAAGAAAAACATATTTACCCCCATCCGGGTTCGAACCTGAGACTTGGACTTGCCAGTCTGCCTACGCTACAACCTAATGCCACATTCCCCACAGGTAGTTGAGGGCGTTGATAAGAGAAAAAGAATCTGATAGATTTATCAAAGCCTAAATGTTCAACGTTGGATCGATACCCTAATATTCAATAAGACTCCAATTGAGGACGAAAAAAGTTGTACATTTTAATTTTATTCATTAGGGTGGAAAAAAACTATTAACAGAGGTAGAAATTCGAATCAAAAATCATAGTAAATTTTGTATATGAAAAACAAAAAGGATAAAAGAATCAAAAATGAAAAAAAAAACTATTTGAATTGCCTTTTGATCTTCATTGCATCTTTCATGCATTTCTGGAGCAAAGATGATTTCTTGGGTGCTTTTTTCTGATCGCGAGAAGCAGAAGCACCAGTTTTGTTTTTGATTGCAGCAGCCACTTCTGCTTTTCCGGCTCCACTGGCAACTAGTTCTCGATCTGCTGGTTGGTCTGACAATCCCGAACTGTCAAGTTTCATCTTCTTAGACTCCGATTCCTTGTTCTCATCAGATTTCCTTTTCCTAGCCATTCGCCTTTTTTCGTTGATCTCCTCCTTTTTCGCTTTCTTCTTCGCATCTTCACTTCTCGATTTTTCCAATTTTTGTATTATCTGTCCACACAAAATTGTCATTGGAGCATACGGCGCCAATTTTTTTATTTTCTCCAGAATTTGGTGCTTCTCAGCAACCTCTAATGGAATTTCGAGAATACATAGTGATTCCAGGCAACTCAGCATCTGAAACATTGTGATACTTGAACAAATTAAGTTATTTTAAACTCACATCCACTCTTTTTCCGAGTTGATCCATCAGCTTGTCAAAGTTTTTAATGTTGAAAGACGCCATAATTATTTAAGCTGAAAAATGAAAATGTCTTAGTCAGCCAAAAAAGGTAAGCGAAGAAATGTACGAGAAAAAATCAATAGATGCAGACCACATACAAAGACAAAGAGAGGAATGGAGCGTCTAAAACTGTACTGGGCGTCTACCCTCCCCTCTTGAAGACGTCACTCTGGATTTGTGATCAATATGAGAGGTCATGTCTTTGCGTCTCTAAGAGTGCACACCCTATTTTTTGGAGATGAGAGAGAGTAAGGTAGATAACAGAAGCAGGAGTTCTGGAGATTCATAAAGGTTCCTTGGAAAAAAAAAAATGGACAATCTTACTAAAAATACTGTCAAAATGCACATGGATTTTTGAAGTAACTTACGAAGATGGTTAGACAAGAAAGAATAGTTGGTGAAGTATTGATTCAAGATAGGAAACGATAGTATGAGAGACATTCAAAAACAATAAAACTTTTGCTCCAAAATTTCAGTGAAAGCATTTACAGGTTCAGTTGAAACTCAAAAATCTTATCGAAAAATGAACCAAAATGGTCACTATACACGAAAACTATTTGAGATGAAGGATAAAAAATAAAACCCTTACAAACACTGTGCACGGGAAGAGTGGAAACGCATCGAATGGAACGTCGAAGACTGGTGTAGTCCACTACCCCTTTTAACAACGTTAGTCTAGATTTGTGATCAATACGTGGAGTCATGTCTTTGCGTTTCTGAAAGTGCATACACTTTTTTTTGGAGATTTACACCAACCATATTTGCAGACCTCCACAATTGTTCCTTTTCTATTTTCCCTGCCTCTCTTATTTTACAGACTCTTTAACCCTTTTTTTCGTCGTTTCGTGAAAAAGGTCCAAAGCGATGTATAAAAACGGCTGCGGCCGAAAAAAGTCAGTCAGACAGCCTGGCTATTAACGAAAACCACTCGAGATAGGAGATTAAAACAGAACCCATACACACACACTGAAATTGAGAAGATGAAAACCGAGAAAAATGAAAAAAATCCCTATGAACAGACCCATAATGATAATTATTCGAGAATATTATGTTTCAACCATTTTCAGTAAATGGGTGATTCTTTGCAGAGTCGGAATAGGAACTGAAGTTGTTTTATCTTATATCTTTCTAGTATCGACTGATTCTTAGCTGATTTTTTTAAGCAGACCCATACTGTTGATTTCTCGAAAATGTTGGATTTAAGCCATTTCTACAAAAAGCAAAACATGCTCATACCTAACGCTGAACAATCACTTTGGCAATAAGAAAGAAGTGATTGAAAGGTGCAAAAATTAAATTCGCCCTGAATTCCGCATCGTTTCCTGGAATTTGGTATGCTTTCCCTTTCCAGTTGTGACTTCTCCATAGTGTAAATCCAGCTCTGAACCGAGCAAAGTCCTGGTTATCATCCATTACTTCATGGTAATCGATTCTGTTCAACCTATCTGGGAGGTCCACGAAACATTGAAATATCATCGCCTCGAAATTTGGATTCCATCCATTTACTTGTTCCGTCAACAAGCAATGAGGGTTTGTTAAAACTTGTAAACTTGTACGCGGGGATCCAATCGCAGATCAATATTATTGTACCTTTGGGGCCGGACGGAAAATGTGTTCATAGAACCAATACTTTATTTGAAATAGAGAGTATGAAAAAGAAGTCAAAAACGGAAATAATTTTTTTTCGGTAATTTCAGCGTTTTGTAACAAATATGTCCAGAATAGTCTCCAATGCTTTTCCAATATTGCTAACATGAACTCTCTGAAATTCAGTTTTTTTTTTCAATTTTTTTGGTCTATTTTTGAGAGAACATACCTTATTCTGGTTTGCTGGGTCTTTCAAAGCCTCATTTATCCTTATCTGCAACTCCTGGAGCTCCGGCAATTCGAGTGTCAAAATACCCATTTCCATTAACATCAAAAATTCTCTCAGGCTTCTAGAATCTTCATGGTTCCGTTCGGTAGCGTTCTTCACGCTAACAGTGACAGCTGATAGGACCATAGTATGGAACTTTTCTATTTCAACATTTCGCTCCACTTGGAGACCCAACGTTTGAAATTCCTCAATTTTAGCGATCATTCCATTCAACCTTGCCAACATGTTCTTGTTCACTGGTAGATTCATCACTTTTATCGAATCAAGGAGAAAGTGAAGAAATTCTTTTTTGGAAGCGAGCGGCAAGGTACTGAAATGAAGTTGATATTTGGAAGATTTCAGTTTTAAATTCTCAGGTTTTGAAGTTCAAAACGAATAGGAAGGTAGTTTGTTGTTTGTAGCTCATTATCTAGAGTGCGGAACATAAGTATGGGCCTTGATTTGCATGCTCTGTGACGCTCGAACCAGATTCAAGCTTGAGAAAAATTCGAACATAGAAGTGTGCTCAATCTCATCTTACTTATTTCTTTTTAGCGTTCAGCTTAGTTTGCAGGTAGTAGTCTGATATTTATCACGTATAGTCACTTACAGTTTTCGATTCGGCTGCTCTGGATGATCTTTTTTATTGAATGCAATATTGAGAGTAGTCTCGTCATTCACTTCTGGTTCAACAGCAATTCTGAAATGAATATGATATTTAAAAATTGTCAGTATGTATTTCTTCTGGATTTTGATTCATAGTTAGTAACTGTCATGTTTGTAATTCTATAATGTGTAGCTTCTGGGTTGTAGTTTGCAGTTTTCGTGGGTAGTATTTGGGATTTTTTGAAGAATTACTGTTAGTGTCTCGTAGTTTTAGGTCTATATGTAGCTTCTTTAGCTTTCAGTTACTATTAGCTTATTAATATCAACTTACACATTCTGGTGCTGTTGTTTTGGAGGCTTTCCTCCGATCGTAACAACCTCTTCATTCTCATCATTATCTGTAGCAACCAAATTCGAATTTAGCTCGTCTGCTGTTCTTTCTCTTCTTGATCTTTTAGGTACTGGTGCCACATGTACATTTTCCAGTTCGCATTCCTTCTCTTCTTCGTCACAATCAGTAGTTATAGTTTTCATAGTTTGAAAGCTCTTCACATGACTTCCCTCCAATCTCAGACTTCCGTTATTTGCAATATATTTAGTTATGCGTCGGCGCTTATCAACGTCGACATGAGCAACGTTTCGAAGTCTGAAAGTGACAAAAAATTATAATGCAAGCGACCATGCCGGGCCGGGCCAAAGTTTCAAATTCTCAGCCCGGGTTTCAGCAGCAGAAATGTTTTTCTTGGTGTTAAGAGTGGGAAACCAAAAAAAACATGATTTTTGGAATTCAAACCGTATCTTGCTTACTCATAATGTTCCAAAAACCTTTCAAAATATTTTCTTAATTTTCGCTGAAGTTGTAGAGAAAAAACTATTTTTAGCCAAAAAAATTGAAAAATCTATTTCCAATTGAAAAGCGGGCCGAGCGGGCTATGCCGTAAAAAACGTCGGCCCGGTCCGGCCCGCTATTTTGCAAGTATGAAAAAAATCATCTTGTTGAAAGTTGTTCTGACTTACTCTTTAAGACACTTTGCGTTGACCGTCACACTCAATCCAAACAAAAGCTTAACTTTCGAATTTACATCCAACTCCTTTAGCTGACAAACACGTGCTTTAAAATCGTCAACACATTTTCGCAATGCTCCAAAAGTGAGGGAGGTTCCAGATAACATGTATTCATCAATAACGGCTTTTATAATTAACGGTGATTCTGTTTCCTCACATTTTCCACCCACAAAATTCAGAAAAAAATGATTTTCTTGATCTCTGTAGATTTGTTGCTCAGTCATCTGAAAGAAGTGAAAATTGAGAAGACAGAAAAGTAAAAATCAAAAAAAATACGTCGGTTCAGCACAAGATAAGTAAAATCAATAGCCAAATGGAACGATTTGACAGAGGGATTAGATAGAGAGAGGGTGCCCTTTACACAGCGAGATATGCAACTGTGAGGCGACCGTCTCCCCTAATCTCCTCATCTCATCTAAGGTCAGCCCGCCAAAATGTGGACATTTGAAAAGAGTGGAGGAGGTGGCCATCTGTTCATCTCTTTGCCCACTTGCCTCTTCATTCTCATCCTCTCTCAGGTCACT